TTCATATGTGGTCATTCGGGTTCGTAACTTAGCCATCTCTTGCAAAAAATAGTTTCTGTATTCTACCACATCTTCACGTTCGTGACTGTCAAAATAAATCTTTTTTGAATGGGTTTGGTATTTCCATCCAAGCAATTTTAGCCATCTGTATGCAGTCGACCTACTAATAGTTGTATTTGTGATTCCAAAAGTAGGCATAATGCTACTGACGTAGCTTATAAAATTTGGAATGGCTAATTTAAATTTATTTTTCTCCAAATACTGATTTATTTGAAGCCGAAAACTTTTATTATGTATTAAAGATTTCGTTTTTATATGTCGGCCACGTTTCGACTTTATTAATTCTTTGTAATTCTTCCATTGATTTGCCCAGGCACGAATACACCGCGCATGCCATGGGCCTTTACCTAAACTCTTAGCCAGAAGGCTACTTGCCCCCATCTTTGTATACCCTTTCTGGACAAGATGGAGAAATTGTCTTGTTGTATTAAAACGTAGATCGACAGTTTCTGTTTTCAATTGTGCGTTTAGTGATGATAATATAGAATTATCATTACTAGCACTACTGTCAAGAGTCTTATTAGATGAACTATCAACTGTAGGTCGATTTTGGTTGATAGGATCAAGTACTATAGGTTCGTTGAAAGCAGCATTGGTCGATTTAACGTGTTGTGAGGAAGATTTATTTTTCCAATACGTGGTAATGGCTTTTCGGGACTGTCTGGTGCGTTTATTTTGTTTTGGCATTTTTTATTTTATTTTTATTTTATTTTGTTATTAAATTACAAATTTCGTTGAGGTATGTATATATATCGAAAAAGTTAAATAAAATATAATCTGATCAAGTTTTCTTACATTCGTATTTATAACTGATACGTATCATTGATATTGTCTAGGGAATCAATCAATCTTGATTGATGTTAATTATACGTACATATGCCAGTTACATACGTATTCGAATATTCGAACGAAACCTACCCAAAGCCAGTTTCAGGTGCATATTACCGTATCTTTGTATAATAACGCCACCTGCGCGTTATTTTGAATACGTATTTCAAGCACGCGTATGTGCGATATTTTGAGTCAAAGGCTGATCGTCCGATATAAGAAGATATTACAATTGTTTAATGTACGTACACTAATCCAAACATGCGCATTATTTAAGAACGCATATGAGCATTATTTCGAAGCCGTGCATGTTATTTCGAATTATACGATTTTCGAAATAATGCTCATGGGCGTTATTATGCGAAAATACGGTATATATTGAGGCAGAATGAACTACGTACGTATAATGGGCTTGAAGAAAATGTCAATGGACATTGTCCATTAGGCCAGTGGATTGTACGCCAAATATTGGACTATGACAAAATCATAGTCCAGCACTGGCTTCAATGGAGTCTGCAAATGGAGCTCTGGATGGAACCAATGGATACTATTTTTTTGAGCTCCATTCATGTCGTGAATGGAGCTCAAAAAAATAGTATCCATTGGCCCATTTGTGGACTTCATTGAAGCAATGAAAAATTTAATTATGCAGAAAAATTTTACGCATCAGGTTAAACTACTGTAAAAGTTTATACGTATACAAGACCCGGGTCTAGAATAATCAATACCAAACTAACAAACCCTATCTAAATCATTTATTCCACCACAATAACCGGTAAATACAGTAACAAATTTTTTACAGTAATTCAATGCTATCTAAACTACGAATTCTTCCTGGTCTTGGAACCTTTCCTTCCA